CCCCGCTCCCTTTCTGTTGGCAACTCTAAAAAGACCATAGAAGTATTTTATGAGTTGACGATTAACATGCTTGGCATAAGAGCTGCCCAATCCTTAAAGCACAGATCAGGATATATCTCAATATCCCAGGGTTTTGTTTTTTTTTTGGTCTGAATGAGACCCAGCCAGGGACAAGCTCCACCGGTTTCCCTTTTCTAAAATGAAATAATAGAAGCAGCAAGGTGGGGTAGACGGAAATGTAACCGTAATATTTAATCAAGCGCGCAAAATATTCTTTGGGACATTTCCGTATAACTGTGGTGGGCAGCGTTCCTAAGACAATATTTTTTTGGCAAGCGTCTCACATGCCAAATTCATGACGTGCATCAAGCTGCAGGTAAGATTTTAAGCCCAGGGATTCCTCCCCTTACGGACGCGATGGAGACCCAAATTTGCACCGCTAAGCGTTTTGACGTTTCTTAGCTGAGTGTTGCCCCAGTTTTACAACCTATCTGGCCGCGTTGTTGTTTTTTTAAAGTGAATCCGCGGCAGACGTTAAATTGCTTGCACGGTTTGTTAAGTGAATCTGGCTTCCCGGTTGACTCTGCTCGTCAGAAGTTTGCCAAAGGGGATCACGTCATAAATATGAACCTGTTGTCAAGCATCCAGATGTAAATCACGGGACCAGAGGGGTGTTGCAACAGTCATAATTGTGAAAAATGGCCCTAAGTCACTTTTTTCAGTGTTGTTGTAACTTTGACTAACTAACTCACAAACACACACACACACACACACACACACACAGAGGGATGTAAGCAGTGGGAAACCACAAGGTTCCGTCTTAGGTACTCTTCAATCTTCTATCTATCTCTATCTCTATCTCTCTACCTCTATCTATCTCCCTATCCCTATCTATCTATCTATCCCTATCTCTATTTCTATCTCCATCTCTCTATCTCTATCTATCTATCTATCTATCTATCTATCTATCTATCTATCTATCTATCTATCTAATCTCTCATCTATCAGTCTATCTATCATCTTTCTATCATCTATCCATCTATCTCTCATCTATCTATCTATCTAATCTCTCATCTATCTATCTATCTATCTATCTATCTATCTATCTATCTATCTATCTATCTATCTATATCTACCTCTCTCTCTCTCTCTCCATCTATCTGCGAAATACCACACATGCATCACCACAAAATCTCTAAAACCGTAAAGCCTACAAACTTGACATCTGGCACGTAGGTTCCTCTTGGCTTCTAGGTGCTCACTAAGAAAGGATTTTTTGACATGATCATCAGAGCTATTAGTATTTTGTGTATTATCATTATTATTATTAACACGCTCTGATGCTAAGGAGTTCTACTCCCCCTCCCCACCTGGAAAGAAATCTCTTCCACATGCAAAATACAAGCAGAGGCGAGAAGTTTCAGTTTTGGAGCAGCAAGTAGCCTTAATACAGAACAGTTGAGCTAAGCCACGCCCAGGCTCCTTGCCGTCTCTTTCTTGCTCACACAGCAAATACTGTTTCAGTTTCCAGACAGCCCTCAACTCTCTCACACACTGACAGGACGCTAGCCAGATGAATACCGATGGATGCCAGTAGACAAGAGGCAGAATTTTTTCTCCTTATTTTCCTCCTCAAAAACTAAGCCCAACCACATAGTTTCATAGCGAAGCATGGGTATCGAGCTAGTATCTTCATTAATGGCTTAACAAGATTTGCAGATGATACTAAGTTGGTAGAAATAGCCAACACCCAAGAAGATTTGCTCAAGATCCAGATGGATTTTGGCAGACTTGAACCCTGGGCCCTATCCAACAGAATGAAATTCAACGTAGAGAAAAGGAAAGTCCTACACTTAGGCAAGAAAAACCCAAACCACATATACAGACTGAGTGAAACCAGGCTCAATAGCAGGAACTGGGAGAGGGATCTTGGAGTCTTAGTGGACAAACAGCTAAATAGGAGTCAGCAATTTGTGGTGCCAACCAAAAAATCCAATGCAATCCTAAGTTGCATTAACCGAGGGATACAATCGAGATCAAGTGAGGTACTTATACCACCCTATAAAGCCTTAGTAAGTCCACACCTAGAGTACTGCACCCAGTTTTGGCCACCACACTATAAAAAAGGATGTTGAGATTATAGAAAAAGTGCAGAGAAGAGCAACCAGGATAATGAGGGGACTGGAGGATAAAATATACGAAGAACAGTTTCAAGAACTGCGCATGGCTAGTCTAGGGAAGAGAAGGACCAGGGGAGACAGGATAGCATCTTCCAATATTTGAGGGGCTGCCCCAGAGAGGAGGAAGGGGTCAAGCTATTTTCCAAAGCACCCGAAGGCCAGACAAGGAACAATGGATGGAAACTGATCAAGGAGAGATTCAACCTGGAAATAAGGAGAAACTTTCTGACAGTGAGAACAATTAAGCAGTGGATCAGACGTTGCCCTCAGAAGTTGTGGGAGCTTCATCACTGGAAGCTTTCAAGAAGAGGCTGGACTGCCATTTGTCAGAAATGGTGTAGGGTCTCCTGCTTGGGTGGTGGTGGGGTTGGACTAGATGACCCACAAGGCCCCTGCCAAGTCTGTAAATCTGTATCTGTATATTTCTTTCTCTCTCTCTCTCTCTCGCTCGCTGTGTGTGTATGTAGACCCAGCATTGTTTTTGTCTTGCCAGCAAAATGCCTCACCTGTGCTTATTGCGCACTCTTTCCTCGATGCTATCAGCTGCCCTCAAATAGCCCTCCTCCCACAAGCCTCTCGCAAACTCTGCACGCGCAACATTGCTTTTTTTGTGTGAGCGATGCGCAAAAAGTGTGCATTGTTCGCTGGAGATTAAAAGAGGAAGGTTTAGATTTGCTAGCAAAACAAAGCCTGCTGCACGTGGGTCAGAATAACAGGGTTGGAAGGGACCACAGATGTCTTCTAGTCCGATCTTATATACCCTTTCAGACCAATGGCTGTCCAGTCTTTTCTTAAAAACTCCCATTGTTGGAGAATTCGCAACTTCTAGAGGCAAGTTGTTCCGCTGGTTAATTGTTCTCATTGTAAGGAAATTTCTCCTTCGTTCCAGGTTGCTTCTCTCCTTGATTAAGTTTCCACCTGTTGCTTCTTGTCCTGCCTTCAGGTGCTTTGGAGAAGAGCTTGACTGCCTCTTCTTTGGGGCAGCCCCTCAAATCCTGGAAGATTGCCGCTAGTCCTTAACAGAATAACACAGTTGGGAGGCACCTGGGATGTCTTTAGTCTAATATGCATCACCCTGTTCAAGGAAGAGACCTTATACCAGTGGTGGCTAACCTTTTTGGGCTCCTGTACCAAAAATTCTGTGCGCATCGCATGCCAGTACCCAGAAGGCAATGCATGCACCCCCATGCCCCCTACACATGTGTGCCTAATCCCCACCCACCTACCCCCACCTCTCCCTTACCTGCACTGCACCTCACAGCTGATTTTCAGCAGGTTTGAGGCCTTTTTCGGCCTCCCAAAGGCTTGAGGAAGGCTTCTGCAGGCTTCTGCGGGCTTTGCAGGCCGAAAACTAGCCCCGTTTCGTCACTTCCGCTATTTTCGGAAAAACAGGAAGTGATGAAACAGGGCTAGTTTTCAGCCTGCAAAGCCTGCAGAAGCCTTCCTCAAGCCTCTGGGAGGCTGAAAAAGGCCTCAAACAGGCTGAAAATCAGCGGTGAGGCACGCACATGTGCAGTGAGATAAGTTTGCCTGCAGCTCACATGCCAGCACAAATGGCTCTGCGTGCCACCTGTGGCACACGTGCCATAGGTTGGCCTTCACGGGTCTATACCGTTCCAGACAAATGGTTGTCCAATCTATTCTTAAAATCCTCCACTGTTGGAGCATTCACAACTTCTGGAGGCAAATCGTTCCACTGATTAATTGTCCTCACTGTTAGGAAGTTTCTCCTTAATTTCACGTTACTTCTTCGTTAGTTTCCATCTGCTGCTTCTTGTCCTTCCGGTGCTTTGGAGAATAGCTTGACTCCCTCTTCTTTGGGGCAGCCCCTCAAACACTGGAAGACTGCTATCATGTCACCCCTAATCCTACTTTTCTTTAAACTAGACATACCCAATTCCTACAAATGCTCTTCATACGTTTTAGCCTCCAGTCCCCTCATCGTCTTTGTTACCCTTCTCTGCACTCTTTCTAGAGTATAAGTAACCGATTTTTTTAAAAAAATTAATAACTCTATCGTTTCAGTGTTTTCTTCTGCAATTTAGAATAGAATAGAATAACAGAGTCGGAAGGGACCTCGGAGGTCTTCTAGTCCAACCCCCTGCTTAGGTAGGAAATCCCAGTCCTTAACAGAATAACACAGCTGGGAGGCATCTGGGATGTCTTTAATCTAAGGTGCATCATCTAATATGCATCCCCCTGCTCAAACAGGAGACCCTATACCATTGCAGGCAAGTGGTTGTCCAATTTCTTCCTAAAAGCCTCCAGTGATGGTGCACCCACAGCTTCTGGTGGCAAGCAGTTCCACTGATTAATTGTTCTCAGTGTTACGAAAATTCTCCTTAATTCTAACTTGCTTCTATTCTTGATTGGTTTCCATCCGTTGCTTCTTGTCCTTCTGGTGCTTTGGAGAATAGCTTGACTCCCTCTTCTTTGGGGCAGCCCCTCAGATATTGGAACACTGCTATCCTGTCACTCCTGGTCCTTCTTTTCATCAAACTAGACATACTCAATTCCTGCAATCGTTCTTCATATGTTTTAGCCACCAGTCCCCCTAATCCTCGTTGTGGCTCTTCTCTGCACTCTTTCCAGAGTCTCCACATCTTTTTTTCACAGAATGACAAGACTTGGAAGGGACCTGGGAGGTCTTCTAGTCCAACCCCCTGCCTAGGCAGGAAACCCTACACCACTTCAGACAAAGGGTTATCCAACATCTTTTGAAAAACTTCCAGTGTTGGAGCATTCACAACTGAGAGTATTTGCACCAAGACAAATTCCTTGTGTATCCAATCACACTTGGCCAATAAGGAATTCTATTCTGTTCTATTCTATTCTATTCTATTCTATTCTATTCTATTCTATTCTATTCTACTCTACTCTACTCTACTCTACTCTACTCTACTCTACTCTATTCTATTCCATTCCATTCCATTCCATTCCAACTCCTCTTCTCTTCTCTTCTCTTCTCTTCTCTTCTCTTCTCTTCTCTTCTCTTCCCTTCCCTTCCCTTCCCTTCCCTTCCATTCCATTCCATTCCATTCCATTCCATTCTACTCTTCTGAAGGCAAATTATTCCACAGTTTAATTGTTCTTACTGTCAGGATATTTCTCCTTAATTCCATGTTGCTTCTCTTCTTGATTAGTTTCCACCCATTGCTTCTTGTCCTGCCCTCAGGGGTTTTGGAGAATAGCTTGACTCCCTCTTCTTTGGGGCAGCCCCTGAGATATTGGAACACTGCTATCATGTCACTCCTGGTCCTTCTTTTCATCAAACTAGACATACTCAATTCCTGCAATCGTTCTTCATAGGTTTTAGCCTCCAGTCCCCTAATCCTCTTTGTGGCTCTTCTCTGCACTCTTTCCAGAGCCTCAGTATCTTTTTTACATCGTGGCAACTAAAACTGGATGTAGCATTCCAAGTGTGGCCTTACCAAGGCCTTATAAAGTGGCATTCACGCTTCACGTGACATTTATTCAATGTCTGTAAACCACCTTTGGTGAGATGGGTGATGTACAGGTTTGATAAATAATACAGGCAGTCTTCAATTTACAATCATTCCTTTACTGACCATTCAAACTCACAATGGCATTGCAAAAAGTGACCTCTGACCGTTTTTCACACTTACGACCATTGCACACAGCCTCCACGGGCACGTGATCAAAATCTGGACACTTGGCTGCTGACTCAGATTTACAACAGTTGCAGTGTTCCCCCGGGGGTCACGTGATCCTCTTTGACATGCTTCTGACAAGCCGAGTTAATGGCAGAAGCCTGATTCACTTAACAACCACGTGGCTCACTCAACGACTGCAGTGTTTCGCTTAACAACGGTGGCGAGGAAAGGTTGTAAAAGATGAATCTTGACAGACTAGAACACTGGGCCATATCCAACAAAATGAAATTCAATGTAGAGAAAAGGAAAGTCTTACATTTAGGCAAGAAAAACCCAAAGTACACATATAGACTGGGTGAAACCAGGCTCAATAGCAGGAACTGGGAAAGGGATCTTGGAGTCTTAGTGGACAACCAGCTAAACAGGAGCCAGCCGTGTGCAGCAGCAGCCCAAAAAGCCAATGCAATCCTAAGTTGCGTTAACAGAGGGATACAATCGAGATCAAGGGAGGTATTACCACTCTATAAAGACCACACCTAGAATACTGCATCCAGTTCTGTTCATCACATTACAAAAAAGATGTTGAGACTCTAGAAATAGTACAGAGAAGCGCAACCAGGATGATTAGGCGATTGGAGACTAAAACATATGAAGAACCGTTGCAGGAACTGGGCATGGCTGGTCTAGTGAAGAGAAGGACCAGGGAAGACAGGATAGCGGTCTTCCAATATTTGAGGGGCTGCCACAGAGAGGAGGAAGGGGTCAAGCTATTCTCCAAGGCACCTGAAGGCCAGACAAGGAATAATGAATGGAAACTGATCAAGGAGAGATTCAACCTGGAAATAAGGAGAAACTTTCTGACAGGGAGAACCATCAACCAATGGAACAGCTTCGTTCCAGAAGTTGTGGGAGTGCCATCACTTGAGACTTTCAAGAAGAGATTGGACAGCCATTTCTCAGAAATGGTGTAGGGTCTCCTGCTTGGGTGGGGGGGTTGGACTAGATGACCTATAAGGTCCCTTCCAACTCTGATTATCTGTTATCTGTTAAAATGGGGCAAAACTCACTTTGCGATTGTCTCGGTCAGCGATGGACCTTGTGGGGGCTCAATTGTGGTGAAAAAAATCAAGCATTTTGAAATTGGCGCTCCGGCTTTAGCCGCAAATGGCTAATGATTACCCATTGACAGCCTTGAGGATACCTGGTGTCACCCTGCTATTTGTCTGTCATCCCATCTGATTCTGGAATGTCCTATCCTGGCAGGTGAACATGCTGTCCAAAGTGCAGGCCGGATTTCAGAGGCCTGTTAGTTTTAGTTTCCTCTTTCCGAAAAGGCCACGTTTTTTTTGTTACCTGTCGTTTACCACGTCTCTGCAGCTGAAAATAACAACCAGGCCCGAGAGGGTGGCCATGGTGGCTTGGATGGAGGAAACCAGCCTGTAGAAGAAAGAAAACTTAAAGTCAGAATAAGGGAGGTGACCAAAAAGAGAAGAGAGAAAACAGACAGTCAAAAATATGAAATATCTCTGGAGGCAACCGGAAACTTGCAAGGGATCAAGATAACGGCGGGGGAGTTAAACGAACCGGGCATGCTTAGTTCACAGGAATAGGAGAAGATAGGATAGCAGGCTACAGTTATCTGGAACGGTATTTTTCAATCTTGACAACTTTAAGATAGGTGGGCTTCAACTGCCAGAATTCCCCAGTCAGCATGGGTTCAGAGGGACAGACTTCAATTCCCAGAATTCTCTAGCCAAAATGCTTTATTTTTATTTATTTCTTTGATTTGTCAACCGCTTACAAGATAATAGGTATAAGTATAAACATGAGTGAGAATACAGGAAAGAGGTACGAATAAATGGGGGCAATAGGACAGGGACGGTAGGCACAATTGTGCACTTATGCACGCCCCTTACAGACCTCTTAGGAATAGGGTGAGGTCAATAGTGGGTAGTAGTGGATAGTTTAATCTATCTATCTATCTATCTATCTATCTATCTATCATCTATCTATTTTTTCTTTCTCTCACTTCATATCTATCTATCTATCTATCTATCTATCTATCTACTTATTTACGGTTTATCTATCTGTCTGTCTGTCTGTCTGTCTGTCTATATATCTATCATCTCCTTCTCTCACTTCATCTATCTATCTATCTATCTATCTATCTATCTATCTATTTATTTACGGTTATCTATCTGTCTGTCTGTCTGTCTATATATCTATCATCTCCTTCTCTCACTTCATCCATCTATGTATGTATCTATCTATCTATCTATCTATCTATCTATCTATCTATCTATCTATCTAATATCTATCTAATATCTATCTATCTATCTATCTATCTATCTATCTATCTATCTATTTACGGTTTATCTATCTGTCTGTCTGTCTGTCTGTCTGTCTGTCTGTCTGTCTATATATCTATCATCTCCTTCTCTCACTTCATCTATCTATCTATCTATCTATCTATCTATCTATCTATCTATCTATCGTTATCTATCTGTCTGTCTGTCTATCTATATATCATCTTTTTCTCTTCATTTATCTATCTATCTATCTATCTATCTATCTATCTATCTATCTATCTATCTATTTATAGTTATCTATCTGTCTGTCTGTCTATATATCTATCATCTCCTTCTCTCACTTCATCTATCTATCTATCTATCTATCTATCTATCTATCGTTATCTATCTGTCTGTCTATCTATATATCATCTTTTTCTCTTACTTCATCTATCTATCTATCTATCTATCTATCTATCTATCTATCTATTTACAGTTATCTATCTGTCTGTCTGTCTGTCTATATATCTATCATCTCCTTCTCTCACTTCATCTATCTATCTATCTATCTATCTATCTATCTATCTATCTATCTATCGTTATCTATCTGTCTATCTATATATCATCTTTTTCTCTTACTTCATCTATCTATCTATCTATCTTTTATTTTATTTGATTTTATTTGATTTGATTTGATTTGATTTGTCAATCGCTGACAAGATGATAGGTATATGTAAACATGAGTAAGAATACAGGAAAGAGGTAACAAATAAATGAGGGCAATAGAACAGGGACGGTAGGCACTGTGGTGTCCTTATGCACACCCCTTACAGAACTCTTAGGAATGGGGTGAGGTCAATAGCGGATAGTTTGTGGTTAAAGGAGTGGGGGGGTTTGAGGATGTAACAACAGAGTCAGGTAGTGCATTCCAGCCATTGGCCACTCAGTCGCTGAAGTCGTACTTTCTGCGATCAAGTTTGGAGAGGTTAACATTGAGTTTAAGATGAGTGGACTTCCACACCCAGAATCCCTCAGCCAGCATGCTTTCAGATGCGTGGACGTCAACTCCCAGAATTCCCCAACCTGCATGCTTTAAGATGGGCGGGCTTCAACTCCCAGTTTCCCCCAGCCAGCCTGCTTTAAGAGGGGAGGACTTCAACTCCCAGACTCCCTCAGCCAGCATGCTTTAAGATGGGTGGACTTCCACTCCCAGAATCCCCCATCCAGCATGCTTTAAGATGGGCGGACTTCAACTCCCAGAATTCCCCAGCCAGAAGATGTCAAGCTTCAAAAGACATTTTTGCTGCTGCAACTATTATCACCTGTCAGCTTGCCAACGAAATCTGGAGGGAGGGAAGGGAGAGATAGAAATTTCATTCCAGACATCACCATGCCAGCTGTGGGAACCAAGGACACTTCAGCAGGGGTTTACCAGAACTTTCCCAGACTTTCTCACAACAAAAGCAAAGAACTCCATTGGACAATGTGACCTGGTCTTATATAAGGGGAGGGAGAACCTGAACTTGAACTATGCAGGGTCTGCGTGGGAATTAGCTGGATTGGGTTTTGCCCTCATCTTTGCCAATATGATATACTCAAGAATGTTTTGCATTCGAGATTGGATCATCTCGATCGGGCTTGCTTCGGTTGGGTTTGTCAGTCGGAACGATGACGGAAAACGTCAAGATATGTCGGCTTAACAACCACATTATTCACTTAGCAACTGCAGATGATTTGCCTAACAACCATGGCAAAAGAGGTCATAAAAATGGCCATCACAAAATTGGAAAAAACTGGTTGTAAAACCAGACGCAACTCACTCAACAACCGCCGTCTTTAACAACTGAAATTCCGATCTCCATTATAGGTGTTAGTCAAGGACTCCCTACATTCAGACGTATAGAACAACCCATCTCACGGGAAGGGACTCTGGAGGGTATACAATAATCAATAAAAACAATGCACAAATCAAAACAAGCATTTTATAACATGGTGGATCCTGCCCTGGGAGATGATCTAGATGACCTCTAAGATCCCTTCAATTCTATTGAAGAGAGTCAGTTTGATCTAGTGGTGTGTAAGGCATCACACTAGAAGGCAGAAGATGGTGAGTTCTAGTCCCGCCTTAGGCACGAAAGCTGGCTGGGTGACTTTGGGCCAATCACCAGGAGACGGTGAGTTCTAGTCCCGCCTTAGGCATGAAAGCTGGCTGGGTGACTTTGGGCCCATCACCAGGGGATGGTGAGTTCTAGTCCCGCCCTAGGCATGAAAGCCGGCTGGGTGACTTTGGGCTAATCACCAGGAGACGGCAAGTTCTAGTCAGGCATGAAAGCTCGCTGGGTGACTTTGGGCCAAACACCAGGAGACGGTGAGTTCTAGTCCCACTTTAGCCATGAAAGCCGTCTGGGTGACTTTGCCCAGATCACAAGGAGGTAATGAGCTCAAATTCTACCTCGGGCATGAAAAGAAGTCTGGGTGACTGAAAACGGCTGCCAGAGGAGCGGTTGGAAACACCCAGAGAGCCTCCATATGCATGAACACTCTACCTCTCCATATCAATTAACAGGAAATGCTACATTTCATTTATGTAGCAAAAGAAGGCATGAGGCTGCCCATCTTATATGCACAAACTGGATGGGTAACCATAAAATAATCTGCCAAATGGACGAATGAATAAATTCATCAAACCCTCTAATGACACTATAGAAAACAAAATTAACATAACCAGAAGGAAAAAAACCAAGCTGCATTTGTATTTTTATATACCGCAAGAACCAGAAGGGACAGAATCATGTTTATCTCCGTTTGAGTATAACTTGGTTTACGTCCCAAATAAATATTTAAGGCAGATTCTGGTGCAATATTAAGAGGGGGGAAAAATTTCACAAGATCAAGCTCAATTTAAGAGAAATTGACAGTGGCCCAGACAGGAGGTGGACTTTTTCACTGGTCACATTTGAAGTCTGGCTAGGTACAAATCTGTCGCAACGTTTTAGAACAATATTTCTAAATCTTGGCAGGTTTAAGTGGGTGGATCTCAATTGCCAGAATTCCCCAGTCAGCATCCTTTAAGATGGGTGGACTTCAACTCCCAGAATCCCTCAGCCAGCCTGCTTTAAGATGGGTGGACTTCAACTCCCAGAATCTCTCAGCCTGCATGCTTTAAGATGGGTGGACTTCTACTCCCAGAATCCCCCAGCCAGGA